TTTACTATGCAAATTATGAAGCGAAGGGATTGGTATGAAGCGACCGTGATGCTGCATGGATATATATGGACCGTGATGCTGCATGGATATATGCATACATATGCAGCCGTACCTTCGGTAGCGGTTATTGGCAAGATGCCTACGGGAAACTCGTCCAAAATTGATTTCTAACACATTGAGAACGGAGGCTCTTTCTTCGCAGGATTTTGACCGTTTCACTCCGTTCTTTCGCCATTTCCCCACTATATAGCGCCCTACTAGCATTTTAGGCCGAGCACCAAATCATCGTCAAACTGCCTTGAGCGACGGTGCTCTGGCGGTAATACTCAAGTTGGATTCTTTTGTATGCAAAGGAGCACTGGCTAACATTTAAAGGAGTCGAAAGATAGCCTTGATGGGTAGATTATGCTTCCACTCACGGGCAGATTTGAAAATGAATACTCGCTAGGAAAATCTGTTCTGTACTTTTATTGGAGCTGGACCGAAATTCAGTGTTATTAATGTAGGACACTTCACAGTAAAGTCCGTAACATTATTCAGCGCAATGGACGGCAACGCAAGAGTTTATCTCATTCCCATTCACAGAAAAATATTCAATCACATCAAGAAATGCACTACTCGACTGTAGCAAAAAGTGGAATCTAGAAATAGTCAAGCAATAAAGAAATTCACAGTCAAAATATTTTCATGACATGCCCTGGAACATAGTGCATTTCTATGATTTCAATTACCAAACAGCACAACGTTTAGTAGGATTCATCGGAGTACCAATCGCGCATTTGAAGGCAGCAGCAAACTCTGGCTGATTGGCGACAACCTGATTAACCCTGAAAAACTAACATTCATCGAACAGAAACCAAATACCAATAAAATTGGAGCTGTAGTAACTTCTAGCAGAGTAACTCTGTGAACTTACGCACGATGACGTCAAGCCTTTTTTCCATTATTATTCACATATAGCATTGTATAACTGTAAATTGCTCCTTTCTGTCATACAGAGAACCCAACACTGAGAAACGAACCACAGGAAAATGTCTCAGTATCCAAATGCAATAACCTTGAACTTTGGGTTCTTTCACTTCCGAGAATTTTGAATCGCGATATAGGTCGAGAATGCATCCAACACTGTCTCCACTTTTTGCAAAAGCGACGTCGTGCGATGGGTGAGCCCGTTGAGAACCGCAGCTTATCCATGACTTCACTTCTATTATGCCAATCTTAAGAGCCAGCAGACCAAATTGTGGTTAGCTTTGCTCACAGAAAACCCACATGGAGTTCAAGACGATCATAGGGAGAGCCTTTTTTCTCTCGAATCTCCAATTGCACATACATTAGTGCAATATCACACGTGATACCAGGAAATCTTACAGCGCCGCAATCTTCAGCTTCGTTCACACAGCGGAGTCGCAGCCTTTGAATGTATATGAATGAATGTATAGGGGTTTGAAACTAGTGAGTAGTGATTTCTGACTCCAGAATATTGTCAAAAGATTCTGATAGTTTTGCCGAAGTAAGTTGTTGTGGATTATATTGATGGGCTAATTGAACTTAAACGCACGCGGTAGCTCGGATTACTCAAGTAATTATTCGGGCTGTAATTGTAGTCGAAATCAGATGATAGGAAGTTTTTCGCAGATTCAGTAGTTTGGTAGAGGAACAATGGGAGCTCGCCCTTCAGCTTCCACCGATTATTCTTCTCATACCAGAATGACCTTTATTGACGAAGAGTGTTATATGATTTCCTGTTTTGCCTCTACTCAAATGAAAATCCCGAGCTGATTCGTCAAAGTGGAGCCGCAGAACCACAATCAACTTCCCGCCGACGTCCGCTTTTGCGAACCTATGCTGAGCAAAGCAATTAAAAACTTGCCTCAAGGAGAGAAGAGCAGCAGCGTCTACGGAAGCAGGCCATGTGAGAGTTGCATGACACCTGGTTCACACAGCATACGCGAATGTCCAAAGAACTTTCCAATAGTCCTTGTTGAAACTCTGGTCCAACACTTCACGCGCTACCTGTCGGAAATGAATGGCGCAATGCTCACGGAAAACCAGCAGAACCGTGCTGCTTTATTAGTAGGAAGACTTTCACGACATTGACAGGTATTGACCAATCTGCCTGCGGCCTGTGGCCCACAAATATTTCACATGAACCATCCTATACATATTGGCAGAACACAAGATGTATGGCCATACGAGCAAGCAGGGTTTCGGAGAGGATCAGCAAGTCGACCACATCCAGACAGTAACAAGGTATAGCGAAAACACGAGATTCCCTCATCTCTGAAGTTCGTCATCTCTGTCGGGACAAAAGCCGAGAGAGCCTTGGGAAACCTATTTCTCCCGGCTCAAAACATGAGGATTCCTCCTCAGCTCTGGAGTAACTCTACAAGGGGATTCAACCACTCTACGTTTGGACATCACTAGCGTAGAGGGGGAGGATTCGGCAGGACAACACTCCTCGCCCAAACTTTTCAACACCTTCTCGAAAGCGCGATGCGTCAGCGGAAGTGGGAAGAAATGGGAGTAAGGACCGACTGCCGACAACTACATCGTCACGGCCTCGCTGAATACATAGTTCTCGAACATCGAGTAAACTGAGCGCAGGCTGCTTGATTTCGGCGCGCGTGAATCTGCAGATAAATTCGAAGAAAACGATGTATATGAGGAATGGTGTTTCTGCTGTCCTATTCTTGTTCAACGGACGAAATCTATGAATGCTTCACCTATGTGTACCTGGGTGGGGGAAAATCAGCATGACGGACGACCTAGAACAATAGCGCTGCAGAAAAAAAGCGAGCGGTTTGGGGTGCTTCCAAAAACATGAGGAGTTAGCGAAGTTTA